TCGAATTGAAATTTCGTCTAAATGACTCCATTAAATCCCTTTCCTTAAACTAGGTGTAGGTACAGTTCGGTCCCGTATCACCATCTTACACTTGACAATGTACTAAGATTTTTGTTCAGTGTGTTCAGAAAATTCTGAATTTTGTCGGTATCTATACCGTCACTAAAAATAGCTCACTAATATTTGTTTCTTCTATCATGAATCCAGTTGTTTTGTTCTCGCAAATTACAAATCTATGTCATCCTTTACTTTCTTGTTGCTACGCCAAGTAGCAGGTGACATAACAGTATAATTCTAGTGCATAATGTGTGACAAGCAGTTTTGTTCATCTTAGCTTTCTTTCAGGCTCTAATTCATACTTGCTTTATAGTGCCGTCTGTTAGTATAATTCCATTCGATTGTAATAAGTAAAGGCAAGTGTATTTAGTTATTCAAAACTATGCCACGATGCCTATGATTGTGACGTTTGTGCGTATGGTGTGTGGGTGTGAGTGCAAATGTGTTATTTAGCATAACTGATATTAATATGAATTTTAGCCTTTCAGTCCTTAAAGTACAAGTGCAGGTATATTGTCATCACAATTATTCATGATTAATTGATAATACATAACTGAACAATACCTGGTATAATATTTAAGAGACATTACTTTCTTCATCTACAAAAGGCCATCATACTAAACGTTGTTTTATTGCATAATATTCTAGTGAGTATTGAAATACTATAAGTGAAAATAAGAGATATCACATGACTTCTCTATCAGTGTATAAAGATCATTCCTCGCCTTACACAAAACAATTACCATTTTTAATGATGGTGACTAGCGGTAGAATCCATGATGCACATGTCGTGCTTATTTGGGACTCGTCCTCTGGGTATAGCTGAATTTCCAGTAAGTGATGGTGTTGCCACTGATAGGGCTTTAGCATTTGGAACGATGGGTGCAGGGTGCCAGTCTCAGTAGGAATTACAGCATTCACTCGGAATGCGGGTACATCATCAAGGTGACGAGTTCCAAGTAGGACGAAATGTGCACTCTGGATTCCAGTAGTAGTCACCATCATCCAATATAACCTCAAGTTCATCCTCGGGCATTAGTGAAGCGTCTAAACTAGGAGCCGATGTTTCAACAAGGATCGAGCATTTTGGTCCAGCATAATCAGACAATCAATGGGGAATGCAAATTACACTAAAAACAAAACAATTATTTTTGATATCAACCTCACCAATTGAATTAATCAAAAAGTAACAGAAGAGTTTCTCTTTCTATGTTATTCAAAGTTATCTGAGTTTCGTTCACAGGCATTCATTTCTTTAAATATCATACTCCAGTAACCAGTTTTCCTTCAAATTTGATTTGATACTACTAATAACATTTTGGAATAATTGTGTTCTCTAAACAGAATGGTTTGTATATGTGGATCTTTCATTGTCTTTCTAGACAACACATTCTAACAAGTTACTTATTATGACTATAAAAACATTCGTCTTATTTCCCCTCTGATTGTAATTGATCAATAACACTCATATTATTATTTCTGAATGTACATTATCCCATATTGACTGATTTTTATTCAAATATCTAGTCAATTCCACACATGTATATAAATGAAGAAAAAAACTTGTGTGAGTAACTTGATATTGCTCGATTTTGCTCGAAAGGTCATCAGTTAATGTGAGAACCTTCTCTTTTGATGATCTTGACTGTGATTTGTTGTCTCCAGAGTCGTTGAAGTTCATCAAGATAGATTTTTAATACATCAACATTTCTGTCACTTTCAAAGACATATGACACTTGATTTTCTGTCAAGCAAATTAAATTTACAATATGCTTATTACTAACTGACATAAGTAGTTTACATTCATCCAAATAGATCAATAATAATTGTTTGCTAGACAGAGAGGATCTATACACTGAGCAGTTACTCTCCTCATTTGCAGTCAAGCTTATCAGAAGTGTATGCAGATTGATATACGTCAAGTTATCGAACGGTCAGAATGCGCCATAACTCCTTCGTCTGAGTACGAAATACATTAACAGATATTTACAAAACATACTGCCTAGGACAAAATCTCACTTTGAGTTGTTTAAACTGCTTCGATCTGTCTAGCGAGAACTCCTTATGGGTTCACAACTACTCATAGCAACTAGTAGTACTGATTTTATTGCTGATCATGCTGGCATTCTAGGGGCTAATTCTCATGACAACTAGACTGGACAGTACGCTCTGCATATTGTCTCTTTTTGCAGGGGATACTGTAAAAGATTCCATTATAAACTGTGTTTTGTAAATATTTAATTATGCTTAAACTTAATCTAAAGTATACTCCTTAGTGTCGGAATAGTGGTAATTCCAGAGAAAATTTGTTTAAAGTTATTTGGGAAAATTTCTCTTAAAAAGGGGCTTTAGCATGCTCGTAGAAATGAGGCTTACAGTCAATCCGCTCTAGATTCAAATTCCAGTACGTTTGCTTCAGCCTTGGTAATTGGATAGCATTATCAGCCCCCACGAAATGACAAACATAAAGAATGCTGACCACAGAGTGTGAGCACACCAATGACCTTAAATGCATAGCATTCTCTGGATTACAGAACCTGTAGTGTATCATGCATCAAAAAGCTGTTTATTTACGAGAAAAATTAACATGATAAGGGAACATATTAAAGACGATATTTTACCCTAACCTATATGAAAAATGCATCTCAGTTGCAATGAACAGTATCACTCTTCATGTTTCTTAGCTATCGTAACGGTTTCATCGACATGAACAAATAAAAGCTCTCCTCCCATTTACTTATTTCGAAGAAAAATACAGATAATAATAATAATAAAACTCCCCAAAATGACCACAAGTGTAAGTCTCAAGTGCTATCAATCTTGAAATATTGAAATATAATTAAACTTCATTTCATCTATTCCACAATGCTCAAACTTTTTACTGACATTAATGCTATCAATCTATTGTCCAAACATTACTTAAAAACGAGATAAGGATGAAATCGCACCTCATTTCGTGCACAGCGTTCATACTGGCTCTGCGATAATAGTAGGTTCTTTATTCCGATGACTGGCATGCGTTCAAGATCATTGGCGCGTCCGCACTCCGTGGTCGCTATTCTGTAGGTTGACCCACAAAATAAGCGTTGGTCATTGTCTTGCATATGCAAACGTTGGTTCCGGTAACCAAGTTTTACATAATTTAGTATGGTTAGTAAAAAAATAACTGTTTTCTTGTGATTACTACACCATTAGTTCTTGTTTTACTGTTGATTAATATCGAAGCTATGCTGCAATATTGACTGTACATTTGAATTACTTTCAGTGGTTTCTTCTTGAGATATGACACTAATTATTACATCTTGTGACATAAGAATAACCAGAAACATTCCTTTCCGTTTTTATTTATCTGTTTATCCACTTATTCCTTACTGTATAACATTTTGCTGTGATAAATGGTAACATGCTCACTGATTAGATACACTTTGTTTTTATTACCGCTACCATTAACTAAATCCTCTTCATTCTTTTTCTTCATATTGTTAGTAATGAAAAAGAATGAAGTTGCTTAATTTGAATGGTTTCAGTTATGCTCCATTTTTTTTCTCTCTGTCAATCTGTTGGTATGAATTTTACAAACTAATTATATTTTTATATCCCTTGCAGTATGCACTATGAACCATATTCTTTTACTTGGAGTTTCTGCTTACCTTTTTTACTGATTGAAAAAGCGATTTACCGTTTGTTTTCTTCTTCCAGTAGACTAAAACTGTTGCTGATAAAACGATATGCTTACACATTCAAGATATTTATACTTTATGTAGGTTGATGATTAGGCTTTTGCAACTAATTAGAATAGTGTATAAATGCTGGCAGTGACATAAAATATTGCTTTTATAAAATAAATTCTTTCGGGATGTATTGTTTCTACTTACAGTTTAGAGTTTATTAAGGAAACTGGGCTTTAGACTTATATTCATTCAATCAATTTGCAGTACAACGAAGGTTCATTCGTGGTTTGACTGAATCAAAAGAAAGTGCTTATATGATGTGCCTTGGCAGTAGTTTACAATTCACTGAAAGAGACGATCTCAACGTGGTTTCTGAAATTTAAAATCATATCATTGCAAGTTGTCGGTCTTAGAGAAGAGAAATATGTAGGCAAAATCAGTACCTTAAATATGGAGTGCTGAAGTAAGCTCAATCCTCAACCACCAATATAAAAGTGAGAATAAACCTAAGTAACCCAAGGTCTTCTTATGTAAGAGGTTTTAGAACCTCACCATCTGTAGCCGTTCCAATATGTCTGCTTCATACTTGAAACACAGGCTCCTTCCCTGAATCTCATATTTCAAATGGTTTCTGATATAGGTCCGATCTGATGTACAGAATATATCAGAGTCAAGAATTTCAAAAATTTTATGGGGAGGCAGTAATATTCTGAAGTGTTCACAGCCTCTGCTCTACAGTGAGCTGAGGTTTGTAGATCATGGATTACAACCACTCTTAAATCCTCATACACAATAACCGTAGGTGGAGTAAAGCTATTTATCGAGTAGCTGCACATGCTTTTATGGGTAACGCGTGAACACACAAAGTGGAAATCAAACCCACAAAACAAAGGTTAGAAAGTACTACAACAATGCTAGCAAACTGATTGGAAGTAAAACTGCAGAAAGACCAGTTAATAGTGAAAACCAGCCATATGCAAATAATAATAAAATGTTTTATATCTTTGTCACTGAAGGTTAATTATATTAGATGATTTATTTTTTAATATCTAAAGCCTGTGTTTCTCTTAGTCCCTGAAACAATGACGTGAAATTTCATAATCGGATATTATCTAATGCGTCTATCTATACTTGAAACTATTCAGTGTAGAAACCACTTCTTTCTGGACTCTCATACCTACTTTATTATTAAATAAAGTTCTAGATTTTTAAGAATATTTTACTTGATTAAATAATTTTATTCTGATGTATATTTTGCTTTCCTCTTTACAGATATCTTTCTCGTCCATTTTTAATTAATGACAGTAAATTTGATCTACGCATCTATGTCTATATATCATCAATTAATCCGCTTAGATTATATATTCATGAAGATGGATTAGTCAGATTTGCTTCACAGAAGTAAGTCCGTCTATTTTATAAACTTTTTTGGCTGTTTTTCTTCTCTTGTAAGTACATATATTATTTTTGTATATATTAGTTTGAATGCTATTCCTTAAAATGTATATGGTAATAAAGTTAAATATCCTATCTTTGATACTTTCAAATAAGGCAGACTGAAATAATGGAGATTAATAAAACACTGAATATTCATATAATTCGATTCATATAATCTTTGATGAATGGGCAGCCAGAATGGATTTTTATTAATTTATAGGATGATTCATAAATGCTGACTGCAGTTGAAGATGTTAACTGGCTTAAAGTACTAAGAATTCTACGATGGAACCTTATTTTAGACATCAATATATGTGCATGAGCATAAGAAATTTAAAGTACTATAGGACAAATAGCGAACACTACTTAGTGTACAAGTTCGAAGTTGGGTAACTTAAATGATGTATGGTGTACACAAAACATCCATCACCTCTCAGGAATCAGACATACTACACGATGGAAAAGTCAGTCATAAACTGTGGATACGAAACACGATCACTGAAGGTGGGATGATCATAATGGTATTTACAGAATCGTTTGTGCAGTGAAATTACCAAGTAGAATTTGAAATTCATTGCACAGTTTCATCTTTAAAAAACATTATTTAATCGACTCAGTTTAAAAATCGCTCCAATAATAATGTTAGATATATGATTTATCTATAGAATACCACTTTACAATTCTCAATTTAATAAGATAAAATTGAAAGCGGATAATTAATGTGAGAGTGAAATTGATACACTGTGGTAGAATTCAATTCCACATCGAATAATCCATTATTTATAAATGGGTGTTGTTTCAGGCACAGTTTATCGCTCATAATCATATCAATGTAATCACAAAACTTCGTAACTTGCTTTATATGCTTTCAATCCTCCTTCCTTCTTTTGCAATTTTCCATGCATCTAGTTTGAACGTTGCGTCGTTTTGACTACACGTGTTTGGTGTAGATTCGATGAACAAAGATTCAATGACGAACCTCTCTCTCTTCACCTATCTACATCACTTTTTTAATACTTCTACTCTATCCCACCCTATTGCATTATTAGATGCAAATGAATGCATTGTAATGGCTCAGCTTTCAACTAGATTACTAAATTTTGCAGAGATAGTCTTTCTAGTTCCAGCCTTATTCCCATGTTCTGATATTCTAACTGACTCTGGTCAACTAGTCAAAACACATTCATCACATGCTATTTGATAAACTATGTTATCTTTCTAAGTAAACCTATCGGGTCTTTAAGCTGATAAAGTTTGTCTCCGAATAAGTTGGTTGATTTAAATTTCACCCTAATTCCAGCTTTATGAAGAATCCTACGTAGGACGCCTGGTGTTTCTTCTGTACATGGCAGTACCAACGAGGCTTTGAATTCCTTATTATTCATAATTTTTATTATTTCAATCACCGTTATTTTTTACTTATGGGTCTTCATACATTTTTGAATAAAATCTAGCGGGTAGAAATCCACGAGTGATTACTCTTCTTATTTGTTTGATTCAACTACTTACTATTTAGTTCCCTATCCCGATTACACTAAGCGTTTAACTTCACCTACCCTTACAAATTTCGAGTGGGATGAATCAAAGTCCAAGTACCCACTAGAATGTGAAGGTTCCTCTAAATGCTAGTATCCAACTTGCCACCCCGTTTCATTTATTTTATGGCCTGGCATAACTAACCCATTATATTCACTTTCTAACTCGAAAATTAATTAAATTCCCTATACTACTGAGTTTATATATTTGAAGACCTGAGAGATATGCTCAAATTTCAAAACAGTGAAGGTGCTATACACATCTTTCCACCTTAATCTAGGAGTAGGACTACATATTCTAAGAGCTTTTCATCCCGGACTATCAATCAATAAGTTTGCTACTAGTCGAGATCTGTTTTTCCCTGTAAGTCTTATTTAAACCGGACTGTTCAATCTGTCTGTCTCTGTTATTTGACAATATGTCCAGTTAGAGAGCTTCGAACTATTAATAAATATCATTTGTACTTCAGTTGACTTGTTTGTAGGATAGAAATTGTCTCTTAATTAAGACTGATAAAACCCATGAGATCTTCAGAGTGAATGAAAGAAATAAAGTTTACAGTTGTCTTTTTGAATTTCTCGTTAACTGAATACATGGGAGCGAAACGCTCAGGGTATTTTCACATTTTCAGAGAAATAACGACTGATGCTCGTTGCTTAAGAGGTGACTGTCTTGGCCTAGTGGCTTAGTAGCTAATATTTTAACGTTTGAGAGTATGGGCGACAAGTTAGGGCCTCAGCAAGAACACTATCACTCGCTAAGATAAAGAGAGTGAATTTGAAACAGGACTAACGCGTGTTCTACATTCCACTGTTAGCTACCATCAACTATATAACACAAAGTTTAGGTAAGTTGACATACATGTTATGTGTAATAATGATGAAAACTCATGAATTGCTACTAATTTCTTCACTGGTGTCAATATATATTGATGATTTACTTTAAATGCGATACTTTACTTCTGTGTAAGTACTGAAACGAATTCGCCTTGTAAAATACTGTTCAGTGTAATCACACTTTTCTTTTAAAATTACTTCAGTTTTGGTATACTCAAGTGAATAATTAAATCAATTATATGTATATGAGCAACACTACTCTAAGCACTGAATTTATTGTAATCACCTATAATTGTAGATATACAAATTCATTACGATCTCTGGGGAATCGATTTATTCACTTGACGAATTATTCTATTAATCGTTTAAATTCAGAATACATCAGTAATTCAAATGAATTCGCTGCTAAAGGTCATAAATGGTAAGATGTTTCTTTAATATTATTATCCATTTTGTCTTTCCATTTATTTGCTTTTGATGTGTATACATGTATACATGTATATGACTGTAATGATCAGATTGAATCGAAAACTTAAGCATTAGTTTAAACCAACCGGATGAAATAATATGGTCAGTGATATTAAGGTTCACGTAATGGGTTAGCTAATGAAGAGAATTCAGTCGATGAGGTGGTAAAACCACATCAGCTGAGATAGTTACGACATGTGTTATGCATGCTGAGTTAAAGCCTTCCTCGTCAAGTAATGTTAGCTAACATAGGACTGGGTTAAAAAAGAGCTAGAGGTAGTCAGATGAAAGCATGGGATCATTCTATGAATTCTTTGGATACAGGTTTCAGCCACGAATGGAGGTGTGACTGTCTGACTATGGTCCTCAAGACGTCAAGAATCAATGGTTGAAGACTATTTGTAACTTGGTTTAAACTTTTACTCAGTGATTTCGATGTTTTCACTCTATAAAATCTCCTAGATTCACTAAAATTCTCAACACACTCCATAGAATTATTCTTCCTCCTGTCCATTCCTTTTCATCAGAGCTTCTTTGTATTTCTTTCTTTTTCCTGTACTGTTATTTATGCTTTATGAAATGTGGAAATTCAGACCACGCTTTTGTGCAAGTTTTTACGTTGACAACTAGATTCAATTCAACATGATACTGAAGCTTTAGTGTTGAAGATTAGCTTAGTGTGAAATATACCTCATTTTTGCTGTTAATTTTTCAAATGGGGACTTTAACTAATGAATTTTTGATAAATATTTTGGAGAATTGTAACTTTACTCATCATCAACGAAGAAAGCACAGAATGGCAATTACCACTCTACCTCAGCTTCATCTACTCTGAGAAGGACTTCAGAAGAGTTGACTGAGAAGTAATCTGAAAACTGCTTCAATACTACAGACTACCTGAAGCAAGCATCAACCTCACTCAACAGCTGACTATATGATGATGCCAAATGCCAAGTGATTCACTACGAAAAGCTCAACAAAGTCTTTGAAATATGGACTGGAGTAAGACAAGGTTTTCTACTGTCACCGATGACATTCCTCATCAAGTGTTCAAGTGGATATTGCAACAGTTTGTGAGTAACGAGAAAAGGGGCATACACTGTGCTGACAAGAAGATACTGGAAGATTTGGACTTCTCAGATGATCAGTGTCTCATGTCGTCGAAGCTAAATACTCACAAGTGAAAAGCAACAAGTTGGTGAGAGAGGCCTGCAGAGAAGACACGATTTCAATTAAAGATATGGAAGAGAGAGGTGACGAGGACCCCTAACCAACAACATTTGGCACCAATCTAATAGAAGTCACCTCTTTCACTAATCCAGACAGCATCATCTCAACTACAGGCTGCACAGATGAAGATGTCATGATAGGATCGGAAAAGGGAAATAGATCTTCAACAATCTGAAGTCACTGTGGACATGTCCTGCACTCAGCATAGGGAAGAATATTCAGATTTTCAACACGATATCAAGTAGATTCTTGCATATGAGTCAGAGAATTGGTGTGTCACCAAGAGCATTTTCAACAGGTTCCTGAAGATTTTTATCATCAGCTGCCTTCTGTTGCTCCGTAGTGAAGACGGGATGGCTGGCTAGAAGGAATTGGCAACGAGAAGGCTGGGAACGAGCTAACCGATAACTTATCGCTCAAAAAATGTTCGGAATGAATTGGAGATGGATTGGATATACTCTGAGTAGACAGCTGAGAAATTTCACGCCTCAAGCCAGCGCTCAAGAGGAACCTAGATGGGCTCTTCAGCAAAGAAAAACACTATACATTTTTTTGGCATAGACGTTTGATTTCTTTAAATAAATTCCGATAGCTTTCATCATAAATGAAAGGTTAGACATAAGACAACGAATAAGTTTATAGATCTTTCTTGGTTGATAATGGCTAGCAAGAATTAGAATGCAGGATATGCGTCTCATCGTATTTTGAACTTGCTAAATGGTTGCAACTACATCTCCAGTGAGTTTTGGTGGCCTGACTGAGACTTCAAATCAGCAGCCTTGCATTTTAAAGCCAAAATATTGAACACTTGATCGCTGGGTTTTAGTTCTAATACAGTGAAGTCTGGACAATGAATAGCTTTACAAGTTTTTATTATTCTGACTCGATATCTGTTGTTAATTAAATATTCAGGCGCAAAATTCTTTTAATGTTCTTAATTGTCCTCGTCTAAACTGGTATCTTGGTTTTTTTCTGAATGTATCTGCCCACAAAGAAGTAGATGAACTCATGTTTATAAAGACGAATCGAAATCAGTCAGTCTAATACTGAATTAATAGTTTAGGTTATTGTTAATACCATTGTTTTTATTGTTATGAGGTGGTTTTACTTAGTGAATTCGCCAAATGGTATGAATAACTGATTATCATTTTAAGGAGACCTTGAAACTTTTAAAGTCACATGGTTGAATATGATAATAACTGGTGAAGGCTTGGGAAATAAAAATTGTTTTTTATCACTTTTATTAAGTGGCCCTGGAATTCACGATGTGAGCCGTTGTTTGAAAGCTATTTTGTCCCCACTTGAAACTCTCCAGCAAAACGTACCTATGATCCCACTGGATACTATACCCAAGATCTTCAGGTTACGAGGCAAGCACGTAACCACTCAAACACTGGGACTCTATTTTAATGACCGGTGAATCATAACTCCTGTCATTTCACAGTATATAGTGCCACGGCTAGCCAGTTATATCGGTGACTATGTGTCCGCGCACCGGATATGGTGGACTCCATCATTCACGACTTCGCACTAGAACTCAATGGACTCCATCTCATAGTCAGTCGTTTATGAGCAGTGGATTGATTTAACTAAACTGAAGGTCCTGTGTTCGACCCCCTGTGGGCTATTGGTTGTATACTGATGAATAGTCTCAGACTAGGATTAAATAGCTGTCCAGTACTTCCTGGTTTACAATGGTTCTCTAACTAAAGTTAGTTCGTGATCAGACTTGAAAATTAATTCAAGATTCGTTATGTAGTTTCTGGCTTCAAACTCAATCTATTGATCGTTTTGGAGCAGTTTTGACGTTGCTTTTACAATTCATTATTCTTCTCGAAAAATCCAATAAAAAAGCTAGTTTTCTAATGAGTAATTTTGTCCATCGAATTTAAATATGTTTAGTATGCATATTCTTAACGATTCACGGTATAATATCATACATATACATATGTGTTGTCGTCTTCACCTTTTTTTTATTTAGGAGTTTACGAGCCTTATGGACATATTTAAAATCACAAGGTATATCGCCTGCGCCTATTTGGTCAAGTATTAAAGATGTTGTCGTGAAAACTGTAATTAGTACAGAAGCTGCATTCAATACAGCATTAAATGTCTACTGTAATCATTCATTATCTGTAAATGAAATTTTTGGTTTTGATATATTCTTAGATGAAGATTTACGACCTTGGCTACTTGAAGTAAATGTTTCACCAAGGTAAATAAAAATGATTTTGCTAATAAGAAAGTTCTTAATTTACTGTAAAACCTCCAGTTTAGCATGATGAATATATATACTAATTCACAATACTGAATGAAGTCTCATTCACAAATCGAGATAGGGGATTTCGGTCCAATATAATCAGTCAAGGTAAAGTTGAAAATGACTCCAACAAATAGTGACTAATATTCGTCACACAAGAAGTGACTCTAGTAGCCTAGTAAATAACGCTTTGATGTTTCAGATGGTGAGTACTAGGTGCCGGTTACAGGGAGAATACCATCCCTCAAAGGGGGATTCAGGCACATCCAGATGATTAGTTCCGACTAGGATGAAACGCGCATCGTCAAATCTACAGGCAGCAACCACCAAACAAGTTACAAAAGTCCTAAATGTCCCACTTGTACTGTCGGTGTCTAAACAGGAATATAAAATCCCATAGATCAAATAAGGTATTGAAGCTTAAATGTTTTCAAACCTCAGACTGTTCAGAACAGAACGCTGAATGTCACACTAGTTATCATCTTTTAGGTATCTTTTTTTCTTATGCAACATGAGAAATGGTTTCTCTGAAGATTCTAGTTTCACTGGTGTTGACATTAAAGATCACTTTGAGAAAAATGTTTATACAATTTACGAAACACTGACTCTTGGTTTCTAATCAATGGATTACAATTTATTTACCCAACATTTAGATTCTATAAACACTGTAGTTATTCACACGTGTAGAGCTTATTGCTTGTCTTTTCACTGCTCTTTTATTTTATCTGATTATCTTCTATCTTCTGCCATATACATTGAGGTTTGTAGGAAACACACTGCATTCCCTCATGCCTTTTTTAATTGATTCAGCTCCTCATAATACTAATTCTCCAATGGACATATAGCGTTCGTCTTATAACAAAGTCGACCGTATTAATAGATGCAAATTATAGCGGTTACAGTCTTACTGACCCAAATTTCTACCTAAGTAAATAATGTTAAAGTACAATGTTACCGAATACGAAAGGCACATTATATACACATAACCCAGGTGGATGTTTTTTTCTGTCGTTCTGTTCTTTGAGCTAAATGGTTAAATTGTTAAACTTTCACTGTTTTTGTCGACAATATCTTCCACGCTAACTTTAAGCTTCATTAGTGAACCATTCATTTCAGAGAATACAAGAACGCTAAATACAAGTAACTCTTGATCTGATATTAGTTAGAGAACCATAGGAAAATCTGGGAGTACTGGACAACTGTTTCGTCCTAGTTTGGGACTCTTCATCAGTACGCACCCGCCGGGATTCGAACCCAGGACCTTCTGGTCACAAGACGAGCTCGTATACCATTAAACCACTGGGACCCGATCCAATGGTTCATGAATTCTAACTTCTGCCAATTCACGACATAGCGTGACCCCTAGCCAATGAAATCCTGTTTCCAGTCAAATCCCCACAAACCAACACTTGAATATCAATGAGATGCTCACTAGCGACTTGCCCTATTCAGGTAGGTAGTTACCTGGGGTTCTAGTGAGAAGTTGTGACCAGTAGGGTGCAGCAGGTCGGGTGTGAGGACAAATACTCGCCGAAGACATTGGCTAGCGGTTGCTCTGTTTCGCAAATTGGCAAAAGTTAGAGTTCATGAACCATTGGATCGGGTCCCAGTGGTTTAATGGTATACGAGCTCGTCTTGTGACCAGAAGGTCCTGGGTTCGAATCCCGGTGGGTGCGTACTGATGAAGAGTCCCAAACTAGGATGAAACAGTTGTCCAGTACTCCCAGATTTTTCTATGGTTCTCTAACTAATGTTAGCTCATGATGAAATGCTGTAACCAATCAAATCCCTACAAACCAACACTTGAATAACAAGTAACCCTTTTTAATTTCTGTTCCACTTCACTTTCAACAGTCCTTAATGACACTAATGTTTGATTGCTGCTGATAATTTACCCATGTGTATTTAATGGAGGCTTTATTTTTATGTGAAAGCTGTTATTTTCTGCATAGAATTATAATGAAAATAACCATTAGTTTGTGTATCGGTTTAAACGAAGTCCTCCTGACCTTTTAGTGTGTATAAGTCAAAAAATTATTAATCAGCTCCTCACCTTTAGAATCAAAAGGAATATGAAAATATTAGGGGTACAAATATCTCTCCATCTGATACCTAAATGGTAAGGAGACCACTTCTGTTAACAAACAAATATCGAATACTTGGATGGCTAACTAGTAGTAGCCTTTTGTGATATCACACCTACGGTATAATTCTAGACTATGTGAGCTAATTTTTTATTGATGGTGGCTAGCAGAGGAATCCACGATGTACATTTCGTCCTATTTGGGACTTTTCACTGTATGTACTTCTACTCTCAGTAGATGATGGTGTTCCCATGGAGGCTGGAACCTAACACCTATCGTTTCAAGCGTCAAAGCGTTTTCCACTAGATCATTCTGACACCAAACATTTGACGCGATATGTGCTAGATTCGAGTTTCAGGGGGAACACCGTCACTCACTGAGGATGCAGATACATCCAGATGACAAGTTCCAAATCGAGTGAAGTGAACATTACGGTTTCCACTGTTAGATACCATTAACCAAATAACATCATGTTAACTCTAAGACTTCATCGAATCATCCATACCAAGAGCTGACTTTAGGATAGAGACCGAACATTTTGGTCTCGGTATAACAAGAAGTACGAATAATCTTAGAACATAAGTGTTAGATTTTTTTTAAATCATAATTTTTCATTTGGCAGTAGCCTCTTCTGCTGAAGTTAAGTGGACTAGAAATTCTTTTCAAGACATAAATTCCATGGAAATAAAATCTAATTCTAACCACTAATCTATTTAGTTGTCCCTCAGTTATGCTAGTGCATTTTAGCTCTACAGAATAGCTATCGACAACCGTGCTTTCTGTACTTTCATCCTGTTGTTGGCATAAATCTTCAACAATGTAGTGTTTGTTTTATCGCATTTACTAAGTAATCGGTCATAGTTCTCAGAATGGTTTAGTGTCATACATGGCTGTCTATTGTGATACCTTAATGTAGGTTTCTTTTTCCATCTTGATAATATCTGTTGTCTGATTCAAGTAGTCATTGCAGAGTGTGATATTTTACTTAGGATAAGTAATGATGAAGAGACACTTTTCCTTAATATATATATATATATATATATATATATATATATATATATATATATATATGGAAATAGCTAATATATTTAAGTATTTTTGACTTTTTCTTTGATGATAATTTTGACTTTGTGTATATTTAACATTTTAATTAAGCATGCATTCCGATTCACCATTGGATGCCAAAATTAAAGGTGGTGTTATCAAGGATATGCTTAATATATCTGGTCTTCATCTTCCAGAGGCAGTTGAAGCATACTGTCGTACTATTATCCCATCCTGTTCATCTAAATGTACAAGTAATACACCTGATCCAATAGTATATCCAAGTATAGATACTTCAGATATTGAAAATAATTTCTGCACAATAAACACAAGCAATCCACTGAATATGGAAATCAGTGATAAACAATTCAGTGATGGGGTTATTATTCGTTGTCATATTAAAAGTGCTAATGATGTGGATAGGATAAAACATACTAAATCGCATATTCAGCGTCCTAACCCACCTAGTCATAGATGGCTACTTGATGAACGTTTATTTATTCAATTAACTAGCTCTGATGAAAGAGAAAAAAGAAAATACTATAAAGCACGTGCGGTGCAATATGGCTTACCTGTGGTCAATCAAGTTCATGCTAAACGGAATTCCTCTACACCACTTCAGTGTAATCAAAAATATTCGAACAAGTCATCTTCAAGTAAATCATCGTCATCTCATGATTCGTATACAACTAGCTCCCTAGAATCATCCTCTTCTTCAAGTGACACAGGTGATGAAACAGAAACGGTATGTTCACCTTCACCACCAATTTGTGAAACAAGTAATAACAGAGGCTCTTCTTCATTTTTATCATCTTCGTCATCATCCCCATCACCATCATTTTCAGCTCCATCAGGAAAATCAGCTCGATCTATGGGGATAGGACCTTCTTCACCTGATTTCAAGTTAAATCGTCCTACTGAAGTAAAAGAGTTTGTAAATAAAATTTACTCTTCTCGAAAGGAAAGTGTAAATCCGAAAAGTTCAGTAACTAGTAAGTAGAAGGGGTAAACCATATCTTTTTATCACATATATAAATGCAAATGTCTAAAGAGCTGTTGAGCAAACCTATTTGCTACCTCCGTTTTATGAATAATAATAATAATAACAATAATCAGAAGACAAAGAAGAAACACTATATTCCAAACAACAACTTTTGTTTTTAAGTGTTGTTTCGCAGAGATTTGATTGATTTAGAGTTAAACTTTATCACGAAGTAATATCAGTTGGAAAAGGAATGAAAATCAAGTGTTGGACAGATGTTTCATTTTGGTTTTGGGACTCTTGAGCTTTATTTACTAGTGATCCTGCCAGACGCTTTCCAAGTCTAGTCTGAAGACAGATAATCACCGATAACATAGGTTGGTGGTAGAAGTGGCCGAATGGTATTGTCATCACCTGGTGGCCTGAAGTTCCTGAATTCAATCACCAGCGGATTTATGGGTGATTACTGGTGTCAAGTCCTAAACTAGGATGAAACAGCTGTGTGGTACTCCCTAGTTTTCAGTGGTTCTCCAACTGATGCCAGTTAGGGATCTAACTTGAAATAATTGTGAATTCGGAAAGTAATTTTCAACACTTAAATATTACAATAAATGTATTCCTCACACAAATAAAACCACTCTGAATAACACAATAGCTAAAGTGAATAAAGATATTACTGTAGGTAATTATAATTCATAATTGATTTCTGAGAGTAAATAGGTGTCCATTTGTCCATTCTTAATAGTTTTCTAGCATTTCTTTCTTCACACATGATCCGTGCTATATAAAGTTTGTTTGAATCTGTATATATTCATCGTACGAACGTTAATTCCAGTGAAATTACTTCTGAAATCAAATTCGCTGTTAATAAATTATGCAGTTCTAAGGGAACATTCACAATGGTTTCCTTCATAAATTTAAAAATATTCAATATCGCAATATGTCATCTGTTTGGTGCCACAAATGACAACTGAGAAAACAAGCGTAATTGTGTACTGCTGATTGGAATTGATTCAGCTTCCTTTCCTCAGTTATAGTGGATGCGTCTTTAACTACGCAATCCCAAGCCATCGAAACGGCCGTTCGGTGTTTAGATTACTTAGATCTAGTTAACAAGCACTGCCACTTAATTCTGAGGGGATCCGAACTACTCACATCTATCTATCAGTAGTATGTATCGCCATTTGGAAATATTTATTTAAATGAATAGGTTTAAGAGGAAATTTGTAAATAAAAAGGGTTTTCAGTGTCTGATGTGTTTAACTGATCAAGTGTATTTCAATATCCTACATATACTGCCTTGAAGCGCTCAATATGTGTAAACTTTATGTGCGAGTGTCAAATGATTTTCGTATGTTTACCTAAACTTCAATAACATTCGAATTGAATTTCAGGACTGAACATATCCGTTCCTATCTTAGTCCACCTGTTTCAGTCAATTTAACAATGTACAAACACCGTTGGGTCCGTTTGTCTTTTCTGTATGAAATAACAGAATGACTTCCAAGATAATGTTACAAAATGACTCAAAGATAGGAATCAAACAATTCCAACAGTGGTGTGAACACGGGCAGTAATTTTGCTCGAAATATTACCAATAACAAAACTTATCATTGTATGTAAACTATTGAAAAATAATTATACTTTATAGTAACAATGCCTTTTAATAATACAACTGGAAAAAAGGTTAAATTGATTCTACAGAAACTTGAAGAATTTATCTGTCATAACATCATGTAATAGTTAAAACCTATTCATTACTTACCCACCCACCCCCACCAATTTTACGCCTCAAGCATGATTACTTCAAATATGATAATATAAAACATTGACACATTAAATCAGCAATGCGTTCGTTGCGTACGAGATGAATATCGTTAGTATCTTTATTTGAGTTTTCTAATGTTATTTTTTTTTGTTGAAATTTTACCCAAACAGGGTTTATGCTAAAAGTGCATTTGGCATGTCATATTGACAATAAACGCCCCCTATTCTCCACTACTGAAATTCTAATTTGAAAAATTATCTTCATTTCTTGTTTAAGATATTTAATGTATGATATTTAACTTCGAATTAAACTACTAACTAGCAACCAACCCCAGAAACCACAAAAAAGTCACCCTGCCATGTGTAAACAATGTCTTTGAGATAACAGCTAGAATAATAAAACCTTTCGGAGCAGATACAGTACACAAACCGACGTAATCACTTCACTTAATAATATACGCAGAATAAAAGACCCAAAAGCAAAAGAAGACAAGATCAACACCAGTGACCAAATAAATTGCATAAATTGTGGTAAGCACTGTGTTGGTCACAGTGAGGGGTGCCTTTGCGTTCCGAGTCAAAGAATATAAACTAGCTGTCAAAAGATACAAAATGTATTTTTTTCATTATCGATGTCTATGGACGCCAGTTTGGCCGGGGAAATGTTGAAATTTTAAACAATGGAAACACCAAATAAATGCCAGGGAAGTTTACGCTGAAGATATTGCCTGAAAAGACAACGAAAGCTTCGCAGTAAGACCACTTAGCTCAGAGAATAGAAACACATCAAGATGTTAAACTCAGCTTATTTTTGACGTATCATGTTTTGCGTCAAATAAAACACACCCGAGTCGTTTGGCAGACCTTGTTCTAGATTCTCTGAATCATTCTCAGCTTCATTTTTATCCTCTGTAAATCTGTATCAATATATTCTTCCGTGAAGAAGATTTGTCACTCATTTAGGTGTTTTTGGTGTTATTATGTCCTCTGAGCTAGATAGTTTAACTGTGAAACTCTCATCCTTCTTCTCCCCAACGTCATCAGCAATAACTTCAATGTGAAATGAGATTTGGCTATTCGCCATGGATGAAGTAAAAGGACACCATAGTAAATTTTCAATTAAGACTGTGCAATTTGCTTATTGCTAATTTGATTTCAGGAATAACTTAGCACTGAACAAATAAAAATTGACAACACTCAAAATTTTTAAGTATGTTACGTATATTATATTGTAATGAAACAACGCTCACAGTGTAGTTTCGCTTGAATGTACTCTATGTACACTGTTTTGAACACTTTGAAAATAACTGTTTCACCATATATCTATATTCTCTTCGTTTTTAGGGATTTCACCGAACAATTCAAAAGGTTTACGTTGTAAATCATCGACCTGCTACAAAAATTCAGATAATCCACATCCTACCACCTCATCCAGTCCACCAGCACATATTCTGCTTGCGAGTGCAACTAGTGAGATATTAGACTGTTTAACACCATCAGATGTACGTATATTAATTTCAATGGTTGATGAACTCGAAAGAGCTGGTGGCTTTCATTGCGTGTTTCCACCAAAATCTCCTGAATTAGCAGTAAAGTATTTGTCGTTTTTTGAATCTCCTAGATATGCAAATTTATTGTGTATAGCATATTTACAAAAATATGGTCAAAACAGAGAAAAAGGTTAGTTGGCTTTATATATATATATATATATATATATATATATATATATATATACGTAGACATTTATATGTGTGTGTGTGCCAAGGTTTTCATGATAAATCATTTCATTAGTACTATGTTTACTGATGGTTATAATGATACTGGGATTCTGCTTTAGTTCTACTGTTACTTCAACATGATAACAATATGTTTCGCCAAAATGTTGCAACAGTCGTACCACTTTACTTGCAAGACACATGAAACTGACTGGGAAGACTAAGATTTATTTCCGCATACAAAAGTAGTATCATTAGAAATTACACCTATTTATATAGTTATTTTACATGAACAATAAATTACTAGTTTAATATATAACCAGTTAGCACCTATTAATAAAATTACACTGAGTTGAACTTTAATCTACGTTAATGTTAAATATCTGGTTTACAAGTCACGTAAGCATTGAGTCACTATGTATCTCCTCGTGTCTTGACAGTACCGATCTCTAAGAAAATCGCAAAACACCCTTTACGGAGAATTACTACAGAAGCAATTATTGAACATCAAAATGGTACACGGAGCTATTTTTGGTAAAAGTACAAGTTAAATACTGCAGTATAGTATATTTGAATAAAATCACATGAACATTTTCAATGTAGATTTCGTCACTAACCAGTATGAGTTACACAATCATTGAAAACCAACGAGCATCGGGTACTTGCTATGTCGTAGTTTGACAAAAAATCTACTTTGAAATTAATCTGAACACTAATCTGGAATGAGTGTCTTGAAGTTCTGTTGGAGAGTTGTGAGGTCTATCATATGAAAGTGAATTGGATGCTCACTGGAAACACTGGTTGGCGACAGTCTCAAATTGACCAGAATTGAAGTTCATAGTTCATTGCATGACAGATTAATGGCTTAATCGCCAACGCATTTACCTAAATGTCTAGTAGAGTCATGCCTGGGTGCTGATGAAAAATCCAAACGGAAGTGAACGGCCAAAAGAATTATAAAACTTGAATTCACTCAGAACAGTTTTGCATCTTTGCCACCAACAGTCTCCAGCCACTAGTTCTTAGCGTCTGGAGGATCCTAATTAGACAGTCTACACCTCCATTCGTGGTTCAAACCAACAGTCAAAGACTTCATGGATTGTTGGCTTGTTCTCGTCTGACCCATCTCTTTTACAACCCCATCTTAAGTCAGCTAACATTGTTCGAGGAGGAATGAAATGATTTGGCATGGCTCTTTTCTAGCAGCAGTTCTTAGGACCTCAACAGGTGACTGAATAAAATCGAAGAATCGACGCAAAATTTCTAGTGTAGCAGCAGTGACTAAAGATCACCCAGTTAGCGGTGTTCTGTTCAAAGAAGTCACAAGCCTGAAGAGCAACAACACAAACCTTGCATGTTCATAATTTATCTCCAAGTAATACCTTTGCATTCGATAATTTCTTATATTTCTTTTATAACAGGCATTCAAATGTTGCACAAACTATGTGAAAAAAAAATTCATATCAAATCTTCTGTATATGGTGACAACATTTCACCTGAACATTGTTGGCTAACATATCAAAAGCGAAAATCTACTTGTTTAAAAGAGTTGATAGAAAAACGAACACAGTATACACTGTCTAGTGGAAATTTATCTCAAAGTAAAAGTATAAAGAACTGTTAATTTTAGATTATGTACAAATATATACATTTATCTTTGTTCTGTCCTCATAATAGATATGCACACAAAAAATGTACTATGCGTTTATGTGTATTTTACTCCTGTCACAGTTATGATCTTATGGATTCTTGAATAAAGAAGCATGATATATATATATATATATATATATATATATAGTTGTTATAATGTCTAGAACAGACATATGCATCTATATATACTACTTATTACATAATATTGATAATGCTGGTCTCAGAAGTTTTATTTTTTTAGATTCAATTTTAACTTTACTCTACCTCCCTCAGTTTATATAATAAAAACACACAAAAACACCTCAGGTTGCTTCCATTTGTGTCTAGTTTTCGTTATTGATATAACACATGAAACTGCATTCAATGTGTTAATATAAAGTGTTTTCCTGTTACTTCGTATACATTTCAAATTAAAGAAGACCTGTCAAAATGATTTGAAAACATGCAAAATGATGGAATGCATTTAATATCTTCTATACTTTCACAAACAACACAGTGTAGTCTATTCCTTGACTAAAGTTTTACGCGCCACTTGTAAAAAGAAGGTAGAGAAACAACGGTTAATTAATGAGACAAATTTTTTTCTCAATTGCTTCGCTCAACATTTCAGGTGTTATTAAATGATTGTATATCATTACACTATATCAACTTCACAAACTGTATCACTGAATATCAAGCTTCTCTACTTGTCAGTAGCTCCGACAATGTTGAACAGTTTCCCACTATTAGCTAGAACTGTAGATGATTCTATTCCACTCGATCATTGTGACCGTTAAAATTCAGTAATGCGCCGACTATGCTACTCCTTATATCAGCTGTTTTACTCGCTGTTCACTAAAATGAAGTAGCAAGACATAATAAAATTACGAAATAGGTAATAGACAATAAGTGTTTGTTGGCAGGGAGTACTTCTAATCCTCAAGCATCAGTAGGTATCTTCATAACGTCTTGTAAATGTTTTCCTAGGCAATGGTAGTGATGTGGATTATGGTTATTACCTTAAGTGTAATGAACTGATTGAAATCAGGTAACAGCCTTATGGAATTAAGATTTCAAGGAGTCAAGTATCTCCACCTTGTTATCAATAGTTTCTAAAAAAATATATCAAAAGAGCTGAAAAAAATAAAAGATATGGATTCTTCTTAAGAAATAGAAACTGTTAGAAAAAGGGATGTGGAAGAATGGAAAATAAGCAACTCGGAGAGTTCTCGGTGGATTGCTGCTTTCTTGGTTCATTAATTCCCAGTAGAACATAAGGACTCAAACTTTTCTGAAGCTGCAGTAGCTGTGTTATCTCTCTGAAATGGGGATGCTCGCCTCATCTACAAACTTCCCTTCATTCTGGGCTAAGGGAAACTTAGGAGTGTGAGGGCTTGGAATCAAATTCTGATGTCCCGCACCAGCCACGGGGGAGGTAAATATAAGTTGCGATTGTTGTAGCAGTTTCGTAGATTGACGGTATCTGTTATGTTACCGGGCTATTATATATGAACTAGATTTTCGACACCAATATACTGATCTATTTGAACATCTTAGAAATATGTCGGGCACCATCAACAAGTTTGTAGTCATCCACCGTGACATGTATGTTCCCAGCCGAAATATGAATATTCGTCGTTTAAAGATAGGCGACAGATGTATCTACTGTGCACGTTACTTAACTCGAAACATCTCTAAGAATATCTTACCCACTTATGTTATACTGAAATCAATCTTCTTTGTTCCCATGAAACACTTATACATTAATAATTAAAACTTCCAAATCTTGTGTCCTACATGACCTACTTCAGTCTCTGCTGTAGGTGCCCACTGTTTGCAGTAGTCTCTGGTAAAGAACACATGCCATTGAATTAAAACAAATTTTCACCCCTTTATGTATCTACAATTAAGTTGGAGGTTAGCAGGAATATACACTCTGGCGCATAAAATGGTCAAAAGAACAACACTCAGTCCCACTACAATAACATTATCTGAAATGTAACTTAACAACTTTGTGTATGATTCTCAACAATCAGATGACAATAGATGACCCTATCTGGTTAGCGAAGTTATTCTAGGTGATTAAGGGCTTAAACCTATAATCACTGTCGTCACACTATCAAGACTTTAGTCATAGCATGTTATAACCAATGGTCACGTCAATGACTACAAGCACTCGTCAGAAGATTACGTGTTTCAATGCTTTTCTAAAGAGATGGATAAGGAAAGATTTCCGCCTTATCAACGGCTTGCTTACGCTGACACTTACAACACACGGGGATACAAAAATTATCCAATCACTCAATCACTGGAATATGGGAGCTGAACTACAAGCGCTAAAAAAGCCTGTTTTTCAAAAATCTTACAGCATCTTGAATGTTACATATTTCAAATTCTGGCAATCAGGAAGAGGTTACCGACAAAATGGTTGTGTCAGAAGGGTTGGACTGATTCAGTTTTCTCAGCTGAGTCAATCTGGGTGCACCACCGATGAACTTAACCCCGAACAAACGAAACGCCTGTCTAGTATGGGATAACTTCCGTCTGGTTAGCGAACACTGCCGTTGGAAATGAGTGGTTTATAACTACTCATATCAACGTATCAGTAGTCGATACTACAGTGTGATTACGCTTGCCTTATTGATTGCCACTTATAGTATCAAGTAGATCATTTGTTGTTATCTGAATAAATTTGGTTTTCAAGTGGAACTTTGGTGAATTCGCTCTTGGAAGAGTGTAATTTACAAATTCAATTCTGTGTTTGATGAGATCTTATTGAAAATATGAGGTCATTTATTTACCCTGCATTCTCGATGACACCGTGTGTGCACTTCGTAAATCATATCAATGTGTGAGATATAAAACCACGAAATAAATAAAGAGACAATTGATGTTGGAATTATTTATTCACGTCTTGAAACAGAATAATTTATTTACTGATGACGTTTCACGCACAGTTTATTACTCGCAGTGATATCAAGATGATATACTGTGCTACAACGAAAAAATTATTCTATTACAGAACTCTGTGTCCCACCACACTGACCAAAATCTGTTCCCGTAGTAGTAGAACCATTCCTTGAATTTTACCGAGGAAAATTCACTAGTCGGGTGCAGAAGCTAGTCAGTTGTAATTCAAACATCCGTTTGCGTAAGCATGCAAACATTCTGCCCAAGAAATAAATATAGAGGTTGGTTTTCGCCCTAATAATCATTCCCAAAAACCCGGTTAAATATCGCGAAAACAATATCGCACCTAAGTAATCATGAACCTCGCCTAGTATATTAGCTGGTTCTAAGCCCAGCAAAAGAGGGAAGGTTGGGCATGGGACTAGCGACCCTATCCTGGAAAATCAATCTGTGCGCTACAGAAACTTCAAATAACAACAAAAGTATACAAAACAAACTTATTCTTCGATGAAATCAAAAAGAGACGAAATGACACAGCAGGCTGGTGAAAGCCTCCGGTAAGCCAATCAGCTAGCAGATGTGTCGTCTTTATGAAAGCAAGATTGAGAATGGGGATATGGATGTGGGATGTACGTACACTGTACAAGGCTGGGCTGGGAAGGCTGCCCAAGTAAACGAAGAAATAAGAAGATATGGTATAGAAGAACAAAGAATCTGTGAGAGCAGATGGAACGGATGTGGACTATCGAAATTGTCAACTGGTGAGTCATTAGTCTACTCAGGTCACTCAAACGACAACCACGAACACACTGGGTGACTGTCATGATATCATCAACAGCAGCCAAAGCGCTAATGCAGTGGGAACCAATCTCCTCCAGGATTATGACACCAAGATTCAACTCCGAAGGAAGGAAGGAAGATTACAATTATCCAATGCTATGCACCTACAAACAACGCGGAACAAGAGAAGGAACATTTTTACAAACAACTACTAACAGTAATGAACAACAACCCAATTGGCCGCATCAAAATCTTTATGGGAGATATGAATGCAAGCCAAACTGGGAGTAGACAACTTAGGAATAGAACTCATCATGGGCCGAGAGGTTCTCGCTTGGAGAAACGAATGAAAACCGAGAATTATTCGCAGACTTCTACGCTTTCAATGATTTGGTAATCGGAAGCAGTGTGTACAAACACAAGGATATACACAAAGCAACATGGATTTCACCTGACGGACATATCATAAACCAGATAGATTTCATCTCAATGGTGTTCAAGAAAATGGAGAGAGCCTGCTGCACACAAAGTCGAGAAGGGGAGCAGATGTGGACTCAGACCATCATCTAGTTCAAGAAATCTTCACGGTGAGGGTAAAATCCTTCAGAACAACTAGAGATAGGCCACAATTCAAGTCCAACACTCCAAAACTGAAGAATGCAACTACAAAAGACAAATTTAGTGAAACTATCAGAGCGAAGTCGGAGACACTACGTGGCATCACTGAGGAAACCTATGTGGAAGAACATTAGGACTCCTTGAAGGTGACGTTCAAGGGAACATGTACAACCGTTCTAGAAAAAAGAAAAGGGTTAACGAGAAATGGCTCTCAACAGACACTTGAAAGCTAATAGAGGAGAGGATAGTGGTGAAACAGAAGAACCAATGCAACGATCGGTAACAGAAGGAGAAGCTGAGTTCACTGTACATCTCACTGAATATAAGGCAAAGAAGAGTACTAGTAAAGACAAAAGACAATTCTACTACAGACTGGCAACTGAAGAACAGGCTGCAGAAACCGTAAAAGAGACCACAGAACATTATATCAGATAACCAGGTCTCTATCCGGGGAAAGATCAACACAGATGAAACCTATAAAAGATGGTCAAGGGAACCTAATTACCAAAGAAGAGAGACAAATAAAACAATGTACTGACTACTTCAAAAGAGTTTTGAACTGGCCGTCACCTGATACTACCTAAAGGAGTAAGACAAAGCTGTCCATTATCACCTACGATATTCGTAATTAAGGTGTACTGGATTATGCGTCAGACTGTAAAAGACCTGGACCTCGCGGACAGTTTACATCTGAAGTCACACAAACTCGAAGACTTAAATTCAAAAACCAATAAATTGCCAGCAGAAGCAGCGAAGACGGTTGTTCAAGTGAACATGAAGATGTGATGAAGACAACCAACCAACAACAACAAGCACCAATCACTACCAACGGGAGTAATTGGAAATAGGTCACATCCTTCACCTATCTAGGTAGCATCGTTTCAACTGCAGGCTGCGCAGATGAGGATGTCATAACCAGAATCGGAAAG